TCTTGTGTCAGCTTCGAAAGACACTGGGAGTCCAGCCGGTCTCCCCTCCCCCACTGCCACCGCCATCCCCACCTGGAGCACTGCAGCCACCTCCCCACTTCTCTCTGCCTTCCCCTAGCAGAGGCCGTGCTGCCCCGAAGCAGGCAGTCCTGCCCCGAAGCAGGCAGTCCTGCCACATTATCTCTCAAAACGCCCTGGGCTCCCTCTCAGCTCCTCACAAGGCTCGAGGCACCTCGCCCCTCCTCCGCCCCAACCCTCCCCCCAACCCTGTGCTGCAGCCACAGACGCACGGGCTGCTACCCAACGTCCTCGGCTCCCGCGGTCCCCTCCGCCAGACCCGCGGTCCCCTCCGCCAGACCGCTGTTTCCTGCATCTCCACCCGCTGCATCCCGCCCCCTCCTGCAGGTCTCTGCTCCAATCCCCTTCTCAGCAGAGGCTCCCTGGCCATCCTTTCAGAATCAAAACCTGACTTGTGTCGACTTGGGTCTTCCAGGAAGCAGACGCCAAGTCAAGGTTCAAGGTCGTGAGGTTAGTGGGGACACCTGTGAAAGATCAAGGGCGAGGGAACAGGCCAGGAGCCTTCAAACTGCCGCGCAGGTCTGACGCCCGGGCAGGGAGAAGGGTAGGTGGGACTGAGGTGCTCCTCTGAGAAAGCCAGCCAGCCCCGCAGGAGCCCCAGAAGGCATCACCCACAGAGGGGTCCCGCACCACAGTGGCCAGGAGGGAGATGCTGGGGGAAGAGACTGCTCTCAGCTGGAAGGCGGCACTGCAGCTGGGGCTGACCACCTGCCCTCCTCCTTGCAGGGTCCTCCTGGAGGGCCCTCTGAAAGGCACACCTCCGTGCCGCACGTTCTCTGCTCCGTTCGGTGAGAGGGAGGCAGGCAGACAGCCCCTCGCTGTAGCTGGTCTCAGGGCCTCAGCATGTGCTCACCCCTCCTCCACTCTCCAGCCTACACCCCTCCTCAGCTGTCACCTCCGCAAGTTTGGGGAGCCTTCCTGGGGGTGTGAACCACGCCCTCATTTCTGAGGCTCTGAGCCCCAGTGACTGTTCCTTCTCAGGCTGGGGTAGATGCTCTGTCCATTCACAGTAAGAGTCACACAGCAGGCGCCACGGTGCCAGGAGGGCCCTGAATCCCACACTTGTCCCTGGCCACTTTGTGAACAGCGGCCCCAACCCCCCCTGCTGATGGGAGCCAATGAGCCCTAACAGAGTGGCGACGCCCCCTGTCCTCCGCTCTCTGGGCGCGAGGGATCCCGTGCCCTGGAGCGGTCCACCCGCCACCTGGCTCCGTTTCTCTCCCTGGAGCGCGTGGCCGTCAGGCGCACTGCGTACTCCCCGCGCTGTGCTGGCCCCCCACTAGGGCGGCGTAGGGTAGGGCTTGATATTCAGAAGGAGCTCCGTAAAACCTTGTGGAACGGATGAATGAACGAGTCAGTCAGCCAGCGAGCGATCTCCTGTGTGAAGGAGGGGTTTGCAGGGGATCTGGTTTTGCGCATCCGGCTAGGGCTTATGTGAATGAGCTCTTTGCCCAATGGCCTCCATGTTGGACTGGACACTTTGAACCCCAGATGCTGGCTGTTCGGACAAATGGAGAAACTCAGGCTTCAGGCCACTCTCTCGGGAGTGGGAGGGGTCTGAGTGAGCTGAGAATAGGGGCCTGTCCTTGTCCCCCAACCCTCAGCCAGACTTTCCCAGAGCCTTGGAGGGTTCCCTGCCATCCTGGGG